AAATTTTAAATTTGTCTCCTCGATTTCTCAATTTTCGAATTTTCGATTTTTGATTTTATGAATTACCTACTTTTCAATTTTTCAATTATTCAGTTTTTAGAGTTTTCAATTTTTTTACTTTTTAGAATTTTCAGTACTGGAATTTTCAATTTTTATACTTTTCGATTTAAAATTTTTCGGTTCTTCAGTCTTTGATTCTCGATAATTTGACTTTTGGATTTTTTCAATTCTCGAGTTTTCGACCTTCGATACTCAAATTTTCAAACATTCAACTTTTCCATTTTTGATTTTTCGATTTTTTGATTTTTCAATTTTTTGATTTTTCAATATTTACATTCCTCAGTTTTTAGACTTTCAATTTTTTTTTACTTTTCGATTTCTCAAATTTTCAACCCGTTTCTTCAGTGTTTCTATTTTTCGATTTTTCTGTTTTTCAATTTTTTCAATGTTTAAAATTTTTCGATTTGTCGATTTTTCAAGTTTTTGATTTCTCAATTTTTCAACACTTCAATTTTGGGAATTTTTTCATTCCTGAATTTTTGAGTGTCTCTATATTTTAATTTTAGATTTTTTGGTTCGTGTCTTTCTCAAATTCTCGATCTTTTAATGTTTCGATGTGTCGATGTTTCAATTTGTCTATATTTCCATTGTTTCTTTTTTCGATTTTTCCATTTTTCTAATTTTCGATGCTCGAATTTTTTAATTTCGATTTTTAGATTTTTGAATTTTCAATTTTTTGACTTTCACTATTTCGTTTTTTCTTTATTTTGATTCTTGGATTTTTCTATTTTCGAATTTTCGGTTTTCTTCCGATTTCTCGGACTTTCATTTTCCGATATTCCAGAAACTTTCTATTTGTCTCCTTTTCGATTTTTCAAATTTGATTTTTTTGAATTTCCGATTTTTCACTTTTTCCACTCTTCAGTTTTTAGAATTTTCAATTTTTTTACTTTTTTTTTCAATATTGGAATTTTCAATTTTTATACTTTTCGATTTTCAATCTTTCCATTCATCAGTTTTTCGATTTCTCGATTATTTGACTTTTTGATTTTTTGATTTATCGAGTTTTCGAATTTCGATTCTCAAATTTTCAATCATTCTACTTTTCCATTTTTGAGTATTTGAATTTTTGATTTTTCAAGTTCTACATTCCACAGTTCTTACTTTTTAGTCTTTCAATTTATTTTACTTTTCAATTTCTCAAATTTTCAACCCGTTTCTTTAGTGTTTTGATTTTTTGATTTTTTCTGCTTTTCAATTTTTTCAATGTTTAAAATTTTTCGATTTGTCGATTCTTCAAGTTTTTCATTCCTCGATTTTTCAACACTTCAATTTTGGGAATTTTTCCATTCGTGGATTTTTCAGTTTTTCCATATTTTAATTTTAGATTTTTTGGGTTGTCTATTTCGCGAATTCTTGATCTTTTTCATTTTTGATTTTTCAATTTTTTGATTTCTCGACTTCTCGATTTTTCAGTGTTTAAAATTTTTCGATTTTTCAAGTTTTTGATTTCTCAATTTTGTAACACTTTAATTTTGGGAATTTTTCCATTTTGTGATTTTTCAGTTTTGTGATATTTTAATTTTAGATTTTTTGGTTCGTCTATTTCTCGAATTCTCGGTCTTATGATGTTTCGATTTTTCAATGTTTTTTCTTTATTTTGATTCTTGGATTTTTCGTTTTTTGAATTTTTAGATTTTCGCATTTTCGTTTTTTTTTCGATTTCTCGGAATTCCATTTTTTCGATATTTGAAAATTTTCAATTTGTCTCTTTCGATTTCTCAATTTTTCGATTTTTCAAATTTTTGATTTTTCAATTTTTCCATTCTTCAGTTTTTAGAGTTTTCAATTTTTTTACTTTTTAGAAATTTCAATATTACATTTTTTGGTTTGTCTGTTTCTCGAATTCTCGATCGTTTGATGTTTCGATTTTTCGATGTTTCCATTTTTCTAATTTTCAATGTTCGAATTTTTTAATTTCGATTTTTAGGTTTTGGAATTTTCCATTTTTCGACTTTCACTATTTCGTTTTTTCTTTATTTTGATTCTTGGACTTTTCGAATTTCGATTTTTAGATTTTCGAATTTTCTGTTTTCTTCCGATTTCTCGGACTTTTGTTTTGTCGATATTCCAAAAATTCACAATTTTTCAATTCTTCAGTTTTTAGAATTTTCAATTTTTTACTTTTTAGAATTTTCAATATTGGAATTATCAATTTTTATACTTTTCGATTTTTTGATTTCTCGAGTTTTCGATTTTCGATACTCAAATTTTCAATCATTTTATTTTTCCATTTTTGATTTTTCGATTTTTTGATTTTTCAATATTTACATTTCTCAGTTTTTAGTCTATCAATTTTTTTTTACTTTTCGATTTCTCAATTTTTAACTCGTTTCTTCAATGTTTCTTTTTTTCGATTTTTTTTTCTTTTCAATTTTTTGATTTCTCAATTTTTCAACACTTCAATTTTGGGAATTTTTCCATTCGTGAATTTTTGAGTTTTTCGATATTTTAATTTTAGATTTTTTGGTTCGTGTATTTCTCAAATTCTCGATGTTTTCATGTTTCGAGGTGTCGATGTTTCAAGTTTTCACTATTTCGATTTTTTGGTTTTTCGACTTTTCGATTTTTCCATTTGTCTAATTTTCGATGTTCGTATTTTTTAATTTCGATATTTAGATCTTGGAATTTTCCATTTTTCGACTTTCACTATTTCGTTTTTTCTTTATTTTGATTCTTGGACTTTCCGATTTTCGATTTTTAGATTTCCTAATTTTCGGTTTTCTTCCGATTTCTCAGAATTTGTTTTTTCGATATTCCAAAAATTTTCAATTTGTCTCCTCGATTTCTCAATTTTTCGATTTTTCAAATTTTCTAATTTTCGATTTTTGATTTTTTGAATCTCCGATTTTTCAATTTTTCAATTCTTTAGTTTTTAGAATTTTCATTTTTTTTACTTTTTAGAATTTTCAATATTGGAATTATCAATTTTTAACTTTTATATTTTTTGATTTAAAATTCTTCAGTTTTTCGATTTCTCGATTATTTGACTCTTCGATTTTTTGATTTCTCGAGTTTTCGATTTTCGAAACTCAAATTTTCAATCATTCTATTTTTCAATTTTTGATTTTTCAATATTTACATTCCTCAGTTTTTAGATTTTCTATTTTTTTTTACTTTTCGATTTTTCAGTTTTCAACTACCTACTCGTTTCGATTTTTCGATTTGTTTTGCTTTTGAATTTGTTGAATGTTTAAAATTCTCCATTTGTCGATTTTTCAAGTTTTTGATTTCTCAATTTTTCAGTACTTCAATTTTAGGCATTTTTCCATTCGTGGATTTTTCAATTTTTCGATATTTTAATTTTAGATTTTTTGGTTTGTCTGTTTCTCGAATTCTCGATTTTTTGATGTTTCGATTTGTCGATGTTTCAATTTTTCAATATTACGATTTTTTGTTTTTTCGCCTTTCCGATTTTTCCATTTTTTTAATTTTCGATGTTTGAATTTCTTAATTTCGATTTTTAGATTTTGGAATTTTCCATTTTTCCACTTTCGATATTTCGTTTTTTCTTTATTTTGATTCTTGGATTTTTAGATATTCGAACTTTCGGTTTTCTTCCGATTTCTCGGACTTTCGTGTTTTCTATATTCTAAAATTTTCAATTTGTCTCCCTTTCGATTTCTCAATTTTTCGATTTCTCAAATTTTCGAATTTTCGATTTTTTTAATTTCCGATTTTTCAATTTTTCCACTGTTTAGTTTTTAGAGTTTTCAATTTTTTTACTTTTTAGAATTTTCAGTATTGGAATTTTCAATTTTTGTACTTTTCGATTTAAAATTTATCCATTCTTCAGTTTTCGATTTCTCGATTATTTGACTTCGATTTTTTGGTTTCTCGAGTTTTCCATTTTCGATGCTCAAATTTTCAATCATTCTACTTTTCCATTTTTGATTATTTGATTTTTTGATTTTTCAATTTTCACATTCCTCAGTTTTTAAACTTTAAATTTTTTTTTTTACTTTTCGATTTCTCAAATTTTCAACCCATTTCTTCAGTGTTTCGATTTTTCGTGCTTTTCAAATTTTTTCAACGTTTAAAATTTTACGATTTGTCGATTTTTCAGGTTTTTGATTTCTCAATTTTTCAATACTTCAATTTTGGGAATTTTTCCATTCGTGGATTTTGAATTTCCGATTTTTCAATTTTTCCATTCTTCAGTTGTTAGAGTTTTCCATTTTTTTGATTTCTCGAGTTTTCGATTTTCGATACTCAAATGCTTCAATCATTCTACTTTTCCATTTTTGATTTTTCGATTTTTTCCACTTTCCAATTTTTTGATTTCTCGAGTTCTCTATTTTGAGGTGATAAACTCATTCGAATCAAACAAAATTGTACTATGCATGTTGTTGAGAGGCCATTTTTCCCGTTGGTTATCTGCTGTAATTATATTTTACATTGTGCGTACTTGTGCAGCTTCCGACCAGAGGCAGATTTTAAGGATGTTTGTAATACTGAAGCATCAGGAAAATAAAATAGATTTGTTTTTAATTTGGTTATTACAAAAATACAATTCGCCTGAGCGTTTGTTGACACATAGGATCTCGAGACGGTTCAAAATGCAAAACTGAGCACTTTCAGTAGTTCCAGTAATTTATGACTTGCAGCCAGTCAGCCACTTATTAGTAATCTAATCATATGCTTGAGCGGAAATAATATCTCAGTGGAAGATAAATAAGGAAACTTAAGTTTCAACAAGAACAGGAGTTAATAAAATGTCGAAAATTCACAAGTTTCTTTACACCTTAACCTGCTACTTTCTTCTTTTTTTCTACATATGTATATTAAAGTATTGACATTATTCAAATTAAATTTTCTAAACAACTCCTATTTATAATAAGAAAAAACGGACCCAAATAAATAGTAGCATTAGGTTCCTACGTATCTAGATCCGCCCCCACAATTGTCAATTAATCATGTATCCATGACGTCTTCTCCAGATGTCCGAACTGGACCGAAACCTAGACCAGACCCGTCAAGAACTGGGCAGGACTCGCTCGCACAGCGCCCAGTTGGAGGAGCAGTGGCACGCCCGAGAACAAGATTTGTTGGTCCACTTGGAAGACAGCCGGGCTAGGGAGAAGCGGTTGGAGGACCAGAAGCACAATTTGGAGGTTTGTTTGGTGGATGCTACGCAGCAGATCCAAGAGTTGAAGGTGAGAGTAATTGTTTATTTTGTGATCGAGATTGCATTGGGTGTCGTAGGCGAAACTCGGAGGTTCCGAAGGCAGAGTCAGAGCTTTGGAAGCGCAATTGGCGCAGCTGGAAGGATTGAAACGCGACGTGGAGCAGAAGCTTTTCAGCGTTGTTTCGACTTTGCGCAGGATTGCGGGAGTGCAGTTGGATGGGTCTGTGAGCATGCCGTATCGGTTGCTCAGTCCATCGAGGAGGTGGAGTCCTGCCAGAGGTAACAAACGATCTTCAACCAGACTCGTCTTATACAAAATTTGAATAAAGTTGCTTTGTTTATTACGAATATATTAAATTTAGTTTGAAGTTTATATTATAATTTTCATCCTATTGAGTTTTCAGCTAAAATAAACAATATGGGTCTAATTAATTTCAAATCAGTACTGCCGTTAAAATTCTGTCACTTTTTATGATACACCCTGTATATATATTTTATGGAATAACCTATATTTTTGTTACGTTTAAATAGAGATTTTAATTCGACAACGCGGACCATTAATTTGGACAGAATTTTGGTTGAAAAAATTGCCAATAAAAAATCGTCACAACTTGAGATATGTAAAAAAAATCAAATTTGTTTTTTTAGAGTTTCAGAAAAATTCCGAATTTTTTCAGCGCTTGCATTATTTTTTGTGGTTATTGTTTTTATGAGCTGTGTTACATATTTTATGAACACACTGTATATAGATCTTAAACGAAGCTTTTAAGAAAATAATATCAACACCACAATTTTGACAAGCAATACATATGTTTTGTGTAGTTTAAAAAAAAGATTTATTTTTACCTTTTCAACTGTATTAGACTTTGTTATTCGCTACATTCGTTTATTCCATATTTACAAAAACATCAAAAAATGATTGACATGTCGACTTACACTTTTCAAGTACTCTGTCGAATCAAAGTCTCGTTATACGTGTTGCTGAAACATTGATAACAAATTTGCAAATATGCTGTGTTAATCTGCCGATTACGTAATAAATACAAATAAAACAAGCGAAAAAACACACAAACTAAATTCTGTTCCCAGCATCGGTTTTACGTCAGTGTTTATTTTATGAAAATGCTTTTAAAATTACTTCAAAACCGCCAATCAATACATCCTTACATAACGAAAGCGTATTTACTTCAATTTCGAAACGACAATGAATATAATTCCAAAAAATCTCCGGTTAATTACGGGAATAAACCATTATCAGCCGGAAACCTTATCACAGTAAAACCACTTATCTAATTATTTATGTACGCTCTCCGGTTTATTATTCCAAAATCTGTGTTTATTATTCCAGGACATGATGATGGAAGAGATGGCGCAATCGACGTGGATCCAGAAGTCGTACGCAAAGGAGTACGCAATTTAATGCAGCAAGTGGCACAGATCGAACGCGAAAGGGTAAGACAATAAAAAATTTCATCACCATTTTCTACTGTCGATTCTAGGACGACTACAAAACCCAAGTTTCCACAATCAAGAAGCAGCTACATGAAGCACACGAAAGTCAGAGCAAAGGCGACAGCAAACTCAACAAGGTGTTGCAGACTTTGAGAGGCCTCCAAGATGAGAAAGGGGCTCTGGAGGCGAAACTCAGCCAAAAGTCCGTCGAGTTGCAGTCGCAAGTATGACGTCAGTTGTAGTTCGTGGCATTTTCTCACTAATCGTTCGTTTAGACTACCGCTCTGAGCAAAAAAATGGAAGAGAATCAGCAGATGCGCGACAAAATCGTATCGTTGGAGTTATCGATAAGCAGTGGAAATGAAGAGAGATTGCAGTGCGAGGTGATTAAAAAAAATCGTTGACTTTAAGTGTCTCATATCTTTATTTATTTTGTTAATTATAAATATGATTTTTTAATTGTAATCGCTTAATCAGCAATCGTCTGATAAGATTCTAACGGAAAAGTTGCGAATGTTTAGGATAAGCTGGAGAAGATGAAGATGGCTTTAGGGAGGCTTGAGGCCGAGAAGCGCGGGCTGCAGGAGGAGTTGAGCAGGACTGAGAGCAGATCGACGAAATTGGAGCTGCAGAGGATGTCGACGGAGGGTGATTTGCAGAGATTGCAGATGATGCTGCAAGAAAAAGATGCCACCATACAGGTGGGGCGTTATCTAGGATGATCAGATATGTTATCGGGTTGTTTTAGAAATTACAAGAGAAGTGCGATCATCAGAGTCGTACTCTGGCGAGTTTGGAAGAACGCTGTATGTCTCTGAAGTCCACGATCGATCAGTTGACTTTATCGCTAGAGAAAGCATCCACTGGTGAGAATGAACTCAGAACGGAGATACAAACCCTACAGAGGTCGCTGTTGGAGGTGACGAGCTCATCGCAAACAGGAGCCGAGAAGCTTAAACAGGTAAGTGTGAATCTGACAGATGGATATTTGCCTCACTCAGGTAACAAAACACTAATCCCAGTGGATACTTGCACTCGGGACACCTAAGGGTAATTTGGATTGATATTTATTTGTTAGTGTCAATTTATTTTTTCATTGGTACTCGATTTATGTAGCAAAAATAAAGATTTATGTTTTCTCGACGTTTCATGGCCCCAAGGGTATGAAAAAAGTCTGTCTGTATGTCTGTCTGAATATTTGTTTTTTGGCTAATCATCCCCACCACCAATTGGATGACCTCATCTCCAAAGTTTACAATGGTAAATTTATTTGAATCCGTGTTGAGTTTTCAACTTAGACATCCAGATTTTGGAAAAAAAATCACAATTGTGTAACCTAACCACATTTTGCAATTTAACTTTGAAACTGCAAAACCGAATGCTCTAAAATCTGCGAACGTTAGTTTTTCAATTTTGCAATTTTACAATTATTCGTTTTTCGATTTTTTAGTTTCTCAATTTTTAATTTTCCAATTTTTCTACTTTTCGTTTCTTCAATTTTTCAAGTTCTTGATATTTATTTTTCAAGTTCTTCATTTTTTTTTAATTTTGCAATTTTTTGATTTTTCAATTTTTCATTTCTTCGATTTTTCATTTTTCAGTTTTTCTAATTCTTAATTTATATTTTTTTATTTTCTTTATTTTTTCAGTGTTTCGGTTTGCAAATTTTCAGTTTTACAATTTTTCGTTTTTTTCGATTATTCGTTTTTCGATTTTTCAATTTTTATTTTTAATTTTTCGATTTTTCAACTTTTCGTTTCTTCAATTTTTCAAGTGCTTGATTTTTATTTTTTAAGTTCTCGATTTTTTTTCAATTTCTTAATTTTGCAATTTTTTGATTTTTCAGTTTTTCATTTCTTCAATTTTTAATTCCTATTTTTTTAATTTCTCGTCGTTTTTTATTTTCTTTATTTTTTCAATGTCTCGATTTTTTTGATGTTTCGGTTTTATAATTTTTCTTGTTCTTTTTTTTTGAACTATCATTTTTACCCATTTTTCAGTTTGTCACCTTCCAAATTTGGCAATTTTTCGATATTACAATTTTTCATTTTCCCGATTTTTAACTTTTTATTTTCTCCATTGTGTATCAAAATGTTTCGTTTTTTTCATTGCCGTTATTTTTTCAATGTTTCTTTCGATTTTATAATTTTTCGTTTATTCAGTTTTTCGGATTTTCAATCTATCGGTTTCTCATCCGATTTTCCGATTTCTTTCATTTCCAATATTTCGTTTTTCGATTTTTCAGTTTTTCAATTTAAAATTGTTTCATTTTTCTATTTTTCGTTTCTTCAATTCTTGAAGCTCTTCTTTTTTTTAATTTTACAATTTTTTGATATTTCAATTTTTTATTTCTTCAATACTTCTAGTTCTTAATTTATCCTTTTTCATTTTCTTTAACTTTTCAGTTTTTCGATTTTGTAATTTTGCTTTTTCTTTTTTCAGCTATAATTTTTGCAGTTTTTCAGTTTCTCGACTTCCAAATTGTCAATTTTTCGTTTCTTCAATTTTCCCATTTGCAATTTTTCGATATTACAATTTTTCATTTTCCCGATTTTAAAATTTTTATTTTCTCCATTGCGTATCAAAATTTTTCGTTTCTTCATTTCCTTTATTTTTTCAATGTTTCTTTCGATTTTATAATTTTTCGTTTATTCAGTTTTTCGGATTTTCAATCTGTGGGTTTCTCATCCGATTTTCCGATTTCTTTAATTTCCAAAATTTCGTTTTTCGATTTTTCAGTTTCTCAATTAATTTTAAATTTTTTCATTGTTCTATTTTCGATTCTTCAGTTTTTCAAGTTTTTTTTTATTTTACAATTTTTTGCTATTTCAATTTTTTCTTTCTTCAATTCTTCTAGTTCTTAATTTATTGTTTTTCATTTTCTGGCTTTTTAATTTTCCAATTTTTCTTTTCGTTTCTTCAATTTTTCAAGTACTTGATATTTATTTTTAAGTTCTTGATTTTTTTTAATTTTCAGTTTGGCAATTTTTTGATTTTCCAATTTTTCATTTCTTCGATTTTTCATTCTTCAATTTTTCTAATTCTTAATTTATAATTTTTTGTTTTCTCGTCGTTCTTTTATTTTCTTTATTTTTTCAGTGTTTTGGTTTGCAAATTTTCAGTTTACAATTTTTCGTTTTCTTCGATTTTTCAGTTTCTCAATTTTTAATTTTTCGATTTTTCTACTTTTCGTTTTTTCAGTTTTTCAAGTTCTTGATTTTTATTTTTCAAGATCTCAATTTTTTTTCAATTTCCGAATTTTGCAATTTTTCGATATCACAATTTTTCATTTTCCCGATTTTAAAATTTTTATTTTCTCCATTGCGTATCAAAATTTTTCGTTTTTTCATTTCCGTTATTTTTTCAATGTTTCTTTCGATTTTATAATTTTTTGTTTATTCAGTTTTTCGAATTTTCAATCTGTAGATTTCTCATCCGATTTTCCGATTTGTTTAATTTCCAATATTTCGTTTTCCGATTTTTCAGTTTCTCAATTTAAAATTTTTTCATTTTCCTATTTTTCGTTTCTTCAATTTTTCAAGTTCTTTTTTTTAATTTTACAATTTTTTGATATTTCAATTTTTTATTTCTTCAATTCTTCTAGTTCTTACTTTATTGTTTTTCATTTTCTGGCTTTTTGATTTTCCAATTTTTCTTTTCGTTTCTTCAATTTTTCAAGTTCTTGATATTTATTTTTAAGTTCTTGATTTGTTTTTATTTTCAGTTTGGCAATTTTTTGATTTTTCAATTTTTCATTTCTTCGATTTTTCATTCTTCAATTTTTCTAATTCTTAATTTATAATTTTTTATTTTCTCGTCGTGCTTTTATTTTCTTTATTTTTTCAGTGTTTTGGTTTGCAAATTTTCAGTTTACAATTTTTGGTTTTTTCAATTTTTCAAGTTCTTGATTTTTATTTTTCAAGTTCTCAATTTTTTTTTTTTCAATTTCCAAATTTTGCAATTTTCCGATATTACAGTTTTTCATTTTCCCGATTTTAAAATTTTTATTTTCTCCATTGTGTATCAAAATTTTGCGTTTTTTCATTTCCGTTATTTTTTCAATGTTTCTTTCGATTTTATAATTTTTCGTTTATTCAGTTTTTCGGATTTTCAATCTATCGGTTTCTCAATCGATTTTCCGATTTCTTTAATTTCCAATATTTCGTTTTTCGATTTTTCAGTTTCTCAATTTTAAATTTTTTCATTCTTCTATTTTTCGTTTCTTCAATTTTTCAAGTTCTTTTTTTTTATTTTACAATTTTTTGATTATTCAATTTTTTATTTCTTCAATTCTTCTAGTTCTTAATTTATTCTTTTTCATTTTCTGACTTTTTAATTTTTCAATTTTTCGACGTTACAATTTTTTTTTTCATTTTCTTTAACTTTTCAGTTTTTCGATTTTGTTATTTTTCTTTTTTTTTGGCTATAATTTTTGCAGTTTTTCAGTTTCTCGACTTCCAAATTGTCAATTTTTCGTTTCTTCAACGTTTCCATTTGCAATTTTTCAATATTACAATTTTTCATTTTCCCGATTTTTAACTTTTTATTATCTCCATTGTGTATCAAAATTTTTGCTTTTTTCATTTCCTTATTTTTTCAATGTTTCTTTAATTTCTCGTTTATTCAGTTTTTCAGAATTTCAGTCTTTGGATTTCTCAATTATCCGATTTTTCGATTTCTTTAATTTACAATATTTCGTATTTTCGATTTTGCACTTTTTCGATTTTTTAAGTTTTTCAATTTTTATTCTTTCTATTTTTCAATTTTTCGTTTCCTGAATTTTTAGATTTTTCAATTTTACGATTTTGTAATTTTTCAATTTTGGAATTGGAAAACCCAAAAATTGTAAAATCGAAAAATTAAAACAATAAAGAAACGCAGAATTGAAGAAATGAAAAATTGAAAAATTAAAAATTGAGAACTCACGAAATTACAAATCGAAAAATTGCCAAAATCTAAAAATTGAAACACAAAAGTTGGAAAACCGAAACACTGAAAAATTTTAAAATGAAAACTCGAAGAGTTGCATATCGTAAAATTAAAAAAACAAAAAGAAAAGAAAAAATTGAAACACTGAAATTGAAGAAATCAAAAATTATAAAATTGGAATGTCGAAAAATAAAAAAATGCAAATAATAATAAAAATAAAGAAAACAAAAAACCGAAACAAAAAAATTCAAGTCGAAAATTTGAAGAAATAAAAAATGAAAGGAAAAATTGAAAAAATAAAGAAAACGAAAAACCATAGCGAAAAATTGAAGAATTAAAAACTGGAAAAACTCAAATCGAAAAATTCAAAATTTGGAAAATTGAAACACTGAAAAATTTAAACCTCAAAACCCGAAGAATTGAAATATTGGAAAATTAAAAATCGAGAAACTTGAAAAATTCAGAAATGGCAAAAAAAGAAACATATTTAAAATGAAAACTAGAAAAATTGCAAATCAAAAATAGAAAAAACGAAAATTTAGAAAACAAATGTTGAGAAATCGAAAAATTGAAAATTTTCACGTTGAAAAAGAGAAAAATTATAAAATCAGAACAGTGAAAAACCGAAAAATTGAAAAAATAAAGAAAATAAAATACCGAAACGAGAAATCACAAATCGAAACATTGAAGAAATGAAAAATTGAAAAATTAAAAATTGCGAACTCATGAAATTACAAACCGAAAAAGTGCAAGAATCTAAAAACTCAAAAATCTAAAAACGAAAACTCGAAGAGTTGCATATTGTGAAATTAAAGAAACAAAAAAAACGGAAAATTGAAAAATTGCAAATCGAAAATTTGAAGAAACGAAAAACCAAAAAATTGTAAATAAGTAATAAAAATAAAGAAAAACAACAACCGAAGCAAAAAATTTCCAATCGAAAATTTGAAGAAATAAAAAAATTGAAGAATCGAAAAATTGAACAAAAAAACGAAAAAAGTTGCGAAAAATTGCAAAATTTAAAAACTGAAAAATTTAAAATTTGAAAAGTTAAAACACTGAAAAATTTAAACCTGAAAACTCTAAAAACTTCAAAATCGAAAAAGTGGACGATCAAAAAATTGCAAATCGAGGAACTAAAGAAACGAAAAATTGAAAAGTTGAAAAACTAAAAAAAAAATAGAAAAATTAGAAAGACTAGAAAACGCGAGGGCGAAAAATTACGGAATCGTCAAAATTGTAAAGTCGAAAAACTGTAACATTCGCAGATCAAAAAATTGAAAAATTAAAAATCGTAAAATTGGAATTGAATAAATGAAAACATTTTAAAAACGATTTTAGAATTTTTCCGCAATAATTGAAAAACGGAAAAATTCTAAAATCGTAAAATTGAAGAAGTGAAAAATTTTCAAATCCTTATTACATACATTCTAAAATGAAAACTAGAAAAATTGCAAATAAAAAATTGAAGAAACTTAAAAATGAAAAATCAAGAAACTGAAAAATCTAAAATTGAAAAACCAAAAAATTGCAAGTCGAAAAACCGAAAAATTGAAAAAGTAAAGAAAATTTACAAACCGAAAAATTGAAGAAATGAAAAATTAAAAAATTGAGAATTCATGAAATTGCAAATCGAAAAATTGCAAAAATTTAAAAATGAAAAGTGGGAGAATTGCATAATGTAAAATTAAAGAAAAAAAACAAAAATCGCAATTCGAAAATTTGAAGAAACGAAAAATTGAGAAAACTGAAATTGAAGAAACAAAAAGTTATAAAATCGAAACTTTGAAAAGTCGAAAAATTTTTAAAATAAAGAAAATAAAAAGACCTAAACAAAAAATTTCAAATCGAAAATTTGAAGAAACGAAAAATTGAGAAAACTCAAATTGAAGAAACGAGAAATTAAAAAAATAAAGAAAACGAAAAACCGAAAAAGAAATATTAAAAACTTACAAATTGAAGTCAAAAAAGCAGCGGAAGTATTATTTACTCCACTAGTTTTTACTTTATAGAGCTTATCAGAAAAAAAAAATCGCAACAAAATTTTATAATTTTTCAAAAATAACCTCGTTCTACGATTTGATGACGAAATTATATAATGTTAGGATCAAATGCAAATTATTTGTTCAGATTTAATAGCCTGAGTGCACTTGTCCATTTTAGCAGGTAAAGAAAAAAAATTATGATGTGTGTATGATAGGGACCTGAGTGCGAATGCCCTGCGTCCGAATCTGATCGCTTGATACCGCGCATGCGCACCTACTCTACTTTCGCCCCATTTCAGCTCCACAAGTCCCTCGCCAACAGCGAAAATGAACGCCGCGTTCTCACCGAACGCTTCGAAAGCACCCAACAAAACCTGGCCGAGATGAGACGCAACAACCAAATCCTCCAGGACCAAGTGACTCGCCTCAACAACGAGCTAGCGAACAACGAAGTGCAGCGCTCGGGCCTCGAATCTCAGCTGCGCTTAGCGCAGTGGCCAGCAGACGGCGCTATCAGCTCGCACCAAGAAGAAGAGCTCCACCGGCAGCTGCAGGCCGTGCAGCGGGAGCGAAGCGAGCTTCGCGGAAAAGTCGACTCCCTCAACAACAAAGTGCGACAAGTGGAGGCGGAAAAGCGAAACATGGAGCGGTCTTTGGCCAAATCGACCACTCGAAGCAAGTCGTTCGAGCGCCCGGAAAAGTACGAAAGCGATTCGGGAATCAACGAGTTGGAACGGTACGAACAAGAAAATAGAGAGCTGCGTCACAAAATCTCGCACCTCGAGGAGGAGTTGGCCGAGAAAGACTCGGAGTTGATGAGGTTGAGGACTCAGCGGCCGGGATTGGACGCTAAGTTTGATAGGGCGGAGATTGAGAGATATAGAGCGGCTCAGTTGCAAGCTGAGAGGTTGCTGGAGGCCAGAGAGCAGAGTCATCGGCAGCAAGTGGCACGGTTGGAGAACCAAGTAACTCTGCTAAGAGAACAACTAAACCAAGAAATCAAAAGACGACAGCAGTACGTTCTCAGGAGTACTAAGGCTGGCCGCGAGATGCAGCAGCTGAGGCAGGCCTTGGGCGATTCTTTGCGCACGGTGTCCCAGGATCCGTCCCTCGATGCTCTTTTGTTGGAGCACGAGGCGCGAAAACTGGATAACACACTTTCCAACACTGCCAGTTTGCCTCCTGGTCTTAGTTTACCATCGTCTTCGTACAGGAGATCTACAACTCCGCAACCTAAGTAGTTTTAGTTGATTTTTTATTGACATCATTACCAGGGAAGTATGAGAACTATTATTTATTCGCACTTTTGTACCAAAGAATGTAATGTACTTAAGTCCATTCTCGATTTACACTGCCATTTTTATAATTTGCTCAATAAGGTTAGATTGCAAGGAATGGACTACTAATCTAGGAACGCTTTCGCCGTCTAATCAGGTATAAATCACGGATTTGGAGTAACTAAATTATTTTTAAACACGAAGTTTTGGTATTTATACTCAAAAGTGTTCAAAATTGAATAGGGTAACACTTAGTGACACTACTTAAGTAGAGAAGTAACTGAATAGATGTACTTAAAAGCTGTAAGGAAGATACTTAACCGTCCGTTAACGGTTTCTAGAATTGACATTTCAGGAGGATATACATGTTTGCCGACTGCTTGGGCAGTCTTTGGGGCCCTGTATATCGGGATGTTATTCTTAAACTGTTAAATTTTCCGTCCAGTTAAACATACCTATATGTATTTTGTAATGAACTCGTAGAACATAACTTAGGTTAACTATTGCTTAAATAAATTACTATTAGAGAAAGGTCTATTATTTACAACAATCTGGAAAGTTAGTGGGTGCAAGATTCATCCACACTGCTAATAATAAAAAATTATGAGCATTATCCATTCACGATCTTTATATAGTAAAATAGGCTTTGATATTTTTTCTTTAAGTTGGATAAACTGATTTGATGATTTAGTTTTTTGTCGGTCAGTAGTCTGATTGACATTTGCTTTGAGCTGGATTGCCACTTTTCTACTTCATTTAGTACCTGCTAAGATAAGACTGATATTGGCAAATGACATACTCCCTAAAAAAAGAGAGGGTGGGTGGGCGGGGCTGGGACCTGTTAAGATAGGATTGACTTTGGCAAATGACGTATCCTCTAAGAAATTTAACTGCAATATTATAAGAAAATACACTAGAGGCTTCAAAGCACTTTCAAATTCTTTCCAAACAGGAATACCTAAAACCTCAAGATTGTTTTAAATTTTTCAAAAAAAAAACGGTGTCCCAAAATTAACTCAAAAACAGGTCAGGTCAGAATTTTCCAAACATAGCGGGTGTCAGCCCCGCCCACCCACCCTCTCTTCTTTTGGAGGGTATATCATTTGCCAATACCAGTCTTATCTTAGCACGTACTAGCCCCGCCCACCCACCCTCTCCTTTCCTAAAGGACATGTTATTTGCCAAAATCAGTTTATTGTAATTTTTCATTAATAAACAAACCAAAAAAGCATTTAATAAGACACTGATTTTAGCAAATGACATACCCTTTAAAAAAGGAGAGTGTGGGTGGGCGGGGCTATTGCCTGATAAGATAAAACTGATTTTGGCAAATGAAATACAGTCTAGGAAAAGAGAGGGTGGGTGGGCGGAGCTAGTGCTTGCTAAGATAAGACCGATATTGGCAGATAACATACCCTCTAAAAAACGAGAGGGTGGGTGGGCGGGGCTAGTACCTGCTAAGATAAGACTGATATTGGCAGATGACATACCCTCTACAAAAAGAGAGGGAGGGTGGGCGGGGCTAGGACCTGATAAGATACGACTGATATTGCCAGATGACATACCCTCTAAAAAAGAGAGGGTGGCTGGGCGGGACTAGTACCTGTTAAGATAAGACTGATATTGGCAGATGACATACCTTTAAAAAAAAAAGAGAGGGTGGGTGGGCGGGGCTAGTACCTGCTAAGATAAGACTGATATTGGCAGATGACATACCTTTTAAGAAAAAAGAGAGGGTGGGTGGGCAGGGCTGGGACCTGTTCAGATAGGATTGACTTTGGCAAATGACGTATCCTCTAAGAAATTTAACTGCAATATTATAAGAAAAGACACTAGAGGCTTCAAAGCACTTTTAAATTCTTTCCAAACAGGAATAGAATACCTAGAACCTCAAGATTGTTTTAAATTTTTCAAAAAAAAAAACGGTGTCCCAAAATTAACTAAAAAACAGGTCAGGTCAGAATTTTCCAAACATAGCAGGTGTCAACCCCGCCCACCCACCCTCTCTTCTATTGGAGGGTATATCATTTGCCAGTACCAGTTTTATCTTAGCAAGTACTAGCCCCGCCCACCCACCCTCTCCTTTCTTAAAGGACATGTTATTTGCCAAAATCAGTTTATTGTAATTTTTCATTAATAAACAAACCAAAAAAGCATTTAATAAAACACTGATTTTAGCAAATGACATACCCTTTAAAAACAGAGAGTGTGGGTGGGCGAGGCTAGTGCTTGCTAATATAAGACCGATATTGGCAGATGACATACCCTCTAAAAAACGAGAGGGTGGGTGGGCGGGGCTAGTACCTGCTAAGATAAGACTGATATTGGCAGATGACATACCTTTAAAAAAAAAAGAGAGGGTGGGTGGGCGGGGCTAGTACCTGCTAAGATAAGAGCGATATTGGCAGATGACATACCTTTAAAAAAAAAAGAGAGGGTGGGTGGGCGGGGCTAGTACCTGCTAAGATAAGAGCGATATTGGCAGATGACATACCCTTTACAGAAAGAGAGGGTGGGTGGGCGGGGCTAGTTCCTGATAAGATACGCCTGATATTGGCAGATGACATACCTTCTAAAAAAAGAGAGGGTGGGTGGGCGGGGCTGGGACCTGTTAAGATAGGATTGACTTTGGCAAATGACGTATCCTCTAAGAAATTTAACTGCAATATTATAAGAAAAGACAGTAGAGGCTTCAAAGCACTTTTAAATTCTTTCCAAACAGGAATACCTAGAACCTCGATTGTTTTAAATTTTTCAAAAAAAAAACGGTGTCCCAAAATTAACTCAAAAACAGGTCAGGTCAGAATTTTCCAAACATAGCAGGTGTCAGCCCCGCCCACCCACCCTCTCTTCTTTTGGAGGGTATGTCATTTGCCAATATCAGTCTTATCTTAGCAGGTACTAGCCCCGCCCACCCACCCTCCCCTTTCTTAAAGGACATGTTATTTGCCAAAATCAGTTTATTGTAATTTTTCATTAATAAACAAACCAAAAAAGCATTTAATAAGACACTGATTTTAGCAAATGACATACCCTTTAAAAAAGGAGAGTGGGTGGGCGGGGCTAGTGCCTGATAAGATAAAACTGATATTGGCAGATGACATACCCTCTACAAAAAGAGAGGGTGGGTGGGCGGGGCTAGTACCTGATAAGATACGACTGATATTAGCAGATGACATACTTTTTAAAAAAAGAGAGAGTGGGCTGGTGGGGCTGGCACCTGCTAAGATTGATTTTGGTAAACGAGATACTCTTTAAGAAAAGAGAAGGTGGGTGGGCGGGGCTAGCATCTGCTAAGATAAGACTGATTTTCGCAAATGATATCCTTTCAGAAATTTAATTGTATTATAAGAAAATATACTAGAGGCTCCAAAGCAGTTTCAAATTCTGTCCAAACAGGCATAATAAAAGATCTTCAAGATTCTTTTAAATTTGTCAAAAAAAAAACGGTGTCCCAAAATTAACTCAAAAACAGGTCAGGTCAGAATTATTAGAAACAATCAAGCAAACAAATGTTTTAATTTTGTCTGTATAGATAATTTGTTATTGTGACTGATTCACAGATCATTGCGACATTATTTAAACAGAAAATGCCTAAAATAGTTTTACTGCAACAAAAATTGCAATAAAAAGATGTTTTTTGGAGTTTCGAAAAGACAGACCCGATTTTTCTTTCGAAGAAGTAACTATGAGTGTCTCGAACATATTTTCTGTAATGTAAAAATACGCTGTAAAATAATTTTTAATTTTTTTTCTCATAGGTAGGAACATCAACTGTGGCGAAAATTTTATCAACAGGGGACCAAATTTAAAAACATCACTATCTGGCAAGCGAAAACCAACGGATTTATTTACAAATTATATGTTTCGGAAAAACCTGCAACGACAAATTTGGCAACTTAATGAAAAAAACGAATATTTCACTGTAGATACTCTTTTGGCATATTCTAGGGAACAGTTGGAATTTAAAGGGGGGCGAACCACATTATACAAAATTCTTAAGTCAATGGGTTATAAACACAGGGAAGTAAATGGTCGCAAAATTCAATGTGAACAAAAACATGTCGTTGCTGCCAAAATTACGTTTTTGAGAACATATTTACAGTTTCTAAATTCCTGTAAAAATTTGACTTTCGTGTATTTGGATGAAACATGGATCTATCAAAATGGTTCGTCCATTCGTCGCTGGGTGCACGATACTGATCTAAAAAGCAATTCCACCAACATTAAAAGTGAAGGATCAAGGTTTACTATTCTCCACGTGGGTTGTTCAACGGGGTTCTTGGGTGGTTGTAACAATTTTTTAAATTCAAAAAATAACGATAGAGACTATCATAAAACGATGGACGGGACAATTTTTCAAAATTGGGTGGTTAATCAGCTCATTCCTGCTAAGATGTTAGAGAGTTTTTTTGCTAATTTTGATTTATAATGCTACAGTCATTTTGTGTCAAAATTTTTAGTATTTGGTACTACCATCTCTCGTTTTGGCTAATTATTCACAAAGATTTGCGTGCAATATTCTGGGTGAGGCTTATCTCAGAATTTAAATTGCAGTTTGGAAGATTAAAGAAACTTACCTGTGATATTTCCTTAAGTGGAAGAAAATTCTTAGAAGGACTTGAGCTGTCATCAAGTAGTACTTACCTGGAACAAGCTAAAAGGATCGGGCACGAAGGAAAACAAAACACGTGTTCTATACAAAACTAATGGTATAAATCTATTACAGCTTTCTCTCATAATTTTCAGTCTTATCGTACCTACAAGAAACCATTCACACAAACACTTTGCGTCCCACTACTTTCTTCCATTTCTGCATCGGCCATCATTTTGAAAAACCTATTCTTCAAAAAGAACTGTGTTGTAGCCGAAAAGGTTTTAAATTTTCGCGCAAAGTCAAGGAACATTAGATCAACAGAATCCAGATGTAGATTTGGAAGCGACTGTTCTTGGTTTACTGGGCTCACTACACGTAGTTCTTCCACACTATCACTGTCAAAACTGGGTTCTTTCTTCACTTGAATTAGTGGTTCTTCCTTAACGGCAACATTGTTTTGGGTGCTGGTACTCGGGAGATTCTCAAATGGTGTGACTTGTAGAGGATCTTCGTGGATTGAGAATTCTTCTTTGATGTCGAATTCTTCTTTGACGTCGAATTCTTCTTTGATGTCTTCGACTTCTAGCAGTTCTTGTTTGATCGTAATTGGGAACTCCTGTGGGCTGCAAAAAAACGTACTAGTTGAACAGATGTCTCCTACTTTTTTGACGTGACAACGTCTTATAATTCGATTGAGCCGGCTGCACGCACGAAAAAACATGACTCATGCGGCGTTACCTCGCTCTGAGGCGTTCCATGTAAGGCTTGAAGTGCAAGCGAGAACGCGGAACACAGTGATTCGAAGGTCTGATTATTTGATTCTGACTGAAACGTGGATGCGTGATAATTGTGATCCAATTTCAATTGAAAATTTTGAATGTGTAGCCCGGCAGAATAATCGATCAGATTCTGAAACAAATGCAGCAGGTGGAGTGGCAATTTATAGAAACTTATCATCGACATTGTGATAACCCAAACTTCCCGCCTTAAAAATTGACCTTGAAAGAGTTTGAAAGGCCCGCGAAAAATTCAAAAATTCAAAGTTTGGCCTTGGCTGTGATCGTCTGACAAATAAGAACCTACGTTGTGTGTTTTTTTTTTGTTTTTGAAAAATGGCGGGAAGACGTTCTTTCATACAAGTGCATACACTGTCGAGAGCGCAAGAAATAATAGACAAAAATTGTTTGGAATTTACGTTCAATTAAAATTATACAATAAATAAAATTATTGGGGTACTTACTTTTGTGGGGAGGGATTCTGTCGTCGTCGTAAGGCTTCCATTCGAGCCCTAGAAAAAAAAAAATCGGTTGTCTGGAAAGTCGGTTTACTGACGATAGTTGAACGTGACAACGTCTTAAGAAAATACTGATGGAATGGTAGCATTTTTCAAAAGAAAATTTTAATTTCATTTGTTTAATAGATTTGTATGTATATAGAGAAGGAGGTAATTAGAAATCACAATGAAATTGATCAAGTTAGATTTATTTATACGCATAAATACAATTATGTCAATTTTTTTTTACAATTTAATAGTTTTTACAAGTATAAATGTGCGTTGAGCAATTGTTTTACAACTGTTAAACATGTGTAATATTTAATTTCTTACAATATGTGTTATTCTGTTGAGAATAGGACGATGATAGGAAAAATAGGAAATGAAAGGGAGTGTTTCGAGTTTAATGTGTCTTGAAAAAGTCAAATCGATGGTGGTGCCTCCTAGTGTTGTTGAGTTATTAACGTCTGATGCATAATCGACATTAAACATGTCTTTCATGAATTTGATGAATGTTTCGTCATTTTTCACATTTGTGTTGAAGTCGCCACAAAGAAGAATTGGTATATCGGTATCAACTTCCATGATGGGATGTACGAATATTCGACAATATATCACTGAACATATAATTAACTAGCTGACCCGGCCACGCGTTGCTGTGGCTAAAGTTTTTGTTATATTACATTATAGTAAACAATCTAAGAGGAACAATAAGAGAACATCAGTCACGGAGTCCACTATGCTTTTTCACACAGATGGTATTTGTAAAAAAATATGGTGATCTCCTTATTTGACTTTCTACTACTACAACCCTTTAGTACAATGAAATTATTTACGAACAAAGACGAAAATGTTGATGTTGGTATACAAATTCACTGGATTGAGATTTGAAGAGGAAGTACGTTGAACACAATTAATTAAAATGTTCTTACACTTGATATTGCTGAGCTCTTTCAACACGTTTGCGTCGTGACCCTTTGCTGCTCGCGTTGTTGAGGTTAGATTTTTTCGGTGGCATTTGACTGAAAATAATAATTTAATCGTTTAAATATTAGAAAGAGGAACTGAAAAACATGTTATCATAGCACATTGAAATAATAAGTGCAAAATAATTTTCAATGGAGGTTAAATAAAAATAATATAAAAATTTGAATATGAACGGTGTAGATCCGAAATCGTACTGACAGTGTTGTCTCGCCGTGTAATTTTTATAGATCTTTTGTCAACTGGATCACCAACCATGATAACAGCAACCTCATCAACAGTTGGAGCGTTGAATCTACCAGCATGTTCATCTAATGGTACTTTGTCGGCTTTTATGACGATTTGATAATTGTCATTTTGCAGTCGTGGCGAAACTCTTTTGATCAATTGAATTAGTTGATTGTGATCTTCTAAAAAATTTTCCAATAATATCACAATTGCTCTTTCCTCTGCTTGTTCAATAAAATTATACAGGCACCGAGTCGTCACGCGCTCTTCACAATCGCCCATAAAATAAATTTGAAGAAATTTCGGATTGTTATCAGGCATTGGCATCAGTGATCCGATTTTATGGTACACCTGGCCTTGAATTTTGAATGTAGTTTCAAAATTACGTCCATCGGATGCACGATCGCAAATTTTAGTTGCCCCAAATGACGTCATTTGGAAGCAAGAATTAAATTTGCGTATCTTACGCAAAAATAATTTGGAATCATCTGAATTGCCAGTAAGAAGGGATAATAAAGGCTCCGGCGGAGCGGGTAGAGGTGACAGCACAACTTTTCCTGATGCGCAGCACATGCCGGCTGCTTCATTCCGAAATTTCAATGCCTGACAATATTGACATACTTTATCCATTCCACCGATAGCAATTTTTGAATGCCCTGAGTAGTTAATATCTGGTGCATATTCAAAGGCAAGCCGAACGAATGATGCACGTGTTAATGAGCGGCTGATCCGTTGCCTTTGTCGATCTAGTACTCGTACTGTAGCTATGTTTCGTTCTCGTGTCGCTCTTGTTCTCGTAATATTCTGTTGCCCACGTTCGTCACGCTGTTCTTGAGATTCTTGTGCACGACTTTCTGCAGTCCTGATTCTTTCAGCTGCATTTCTTGTTTCGATTTGTTCTGGTAATTGCTGAGCTCTTTCAACACGTTTGCGTCGTGACCCTTTGCTGCTCGCGTTGTTGAGGTTAGATTCTTTCGGTGGCATTTGACTGACAATAATAATTTAATCGTTTAAATATTAGAAACCCAGTCATAGATAAATAATACTACGTAAAATAGAATGCAAACTCGGCTGTAATGCGTGTCCCAGGTTTGTGTCTAGGCTTATGTACCGGCCACATAATAAGAGATAGCACTGATACATAGCACCAAGATACATAGTACTATGTATCTTGCATAGCACTGATAGCAGTGAAGTATTTTTTTCCAAAAATTACTTGGCGACAACTTCCACAGCCAATTTTAAGAAACAATAAAAAAACTAATGTCATTTATGATTAGTATAAAAGTGTCATTTGTGTGATTATACGTGATAACAAAGCGTAAAATATGAAACTATGCAGTGTTTTGAAATGTCTAAACACTAAAATTATTAAACGCCATCGTTTTCCCAACCCCTACAAATACAACGAGCGTTTTAAAATTTGGTTGGAACGGACAGGGAATCCAAATTTAGGCAAATTAGATCCCACGAAAATATATAAAAATGGATATTTTCTTTGCGATGTACATTTTAAAGAAACGGATTTTGGCCCCAATCAAAAACTTAAAAATACTGCCATTCCTACAATTCAAATTATGCATGGTAAATATTTGTGTGCAAGTGAATGCCATAGATAATTTTTACAATAATTTCAGATAATATGAACGACCCCGAAAGACACACCCATGATCCCGTAAACCCTATTTCTATACTGGATTCTCAAAAATTTTGTACTGAAGTATCTCGAAATTCCAGAGAAACCCTAAACGAAACTTTAAACCAAGAATCTTCTCGAATACTAAATTTACATTCAAATTCTAGGAATATTTCGCGTACAGCCCGTAGAAACAAAATTAAGGTAACTTCGTATCGCCAACGATTGAAATTATACTCCAAATTTGAAGTAAAATTAGAAAGCAAAATTTTAAGTCAGGATGCTATAAATTTTTGTTTATCACAATTAAAAAGACGAAATGTCAAACCAAAGGGTCGCAGGTTTACCACTGAAGATAAATTATTTGCATTAATGTTTTATAAACAGTCTGGGAGATGTTATAGAAAAATGAGACAGATTTTTGCACTGCCTTCACGTCAAACAATTATGTCTATGTTGAACAAAATTCCAGTAGACGTTGGTATAAACAAAATAATTTTCGACAATCTTAAAGAATCTGCTTCAAAATTAAATAACCAAGATAGAATATGTGCATTAATTTTTGATGAAATGTCCATAATGCCCCACATAGACTATCACAAATATACGGATACATTTTTCGGATTTCAAAATTTTGGATTTGAACAAAATTTACAGATAGCAGATCATGTTCTTGTTTTTTTCATTCGCGGAGTGTTTAAAAAATGGCAACAGCCAATATACTTTGCATTTTCTTTTTCGTCTACAAAATCTTACATATTGACAACTATTATAAAAACTCTGGTTGAAAAAATACAAAATTGTGGATTCAAAATTCTGGTTACAATTTGTGATCAAGGCCAACCAAACCAAGCAGCTATAAATTCTCTGCTAAAGGAGTCGAAACAACGTTATATACATAAAGGGATGGAACCTAAAAGAAGAATTTTATTAGGGGATCAAGAAATTATTCCCTTATATGACACGCCTCATTTAATTAAATGTATTAGGAACAATCTGCTTACTAAAAATTTAGTGTGGAAAACAAGCGAGGAAATTTTGGTTGCAAATTGGAAACATATAATCGATGCGTACTACAGTGATCAAACATGTGGAGAATTACGGGCTCTACACAAAATTACGGATCACCACGTAATTCCGGAAAAAATTCAAAAGATGAAGGTGTGCTATGCGACACAAGTTTTGAGTCACTCAATGGCATCGACTATTACGCTATTGGTTAAATCTAGTAAATACAAATTTAAAAATAATTAACAGATTCATTTACAATTTAATTTTACAGCCGAATGCAGTTTAACACACGAGGCAATGGGAACAGCACGAATTATAAAATTTTTTGACAAGCTCTTCGACAGTGTAAATGGCAGTACTTTTCAACCACGGTGCGGAAAACCATTTTCTGGGGGCGTATTTAAATCTTCTGGTCATAAACATTTTTGGAAGGAAGCTATCAAAATTTTGGGTGATATGTATTTCGTCGATGAGGCCGGAAAAATGGTAGTACCTCCGTGTATAAAAAACTGGATTACAACGTTAGAAGGTTTTGTGGATTTACATACAATTTTAGTAGAACAGTGCAGGTGCAAATATTTTTTACCTAGATGTTTAAATCAAGATGTTATTGAAAACTATTTTGGCAAAATCAGAAGTCAAAGAAATCGAGCAACTAATCTAACGGCAGCCCAATTTAAGGAAAGTTTCAAATCTCTATTATTACGCAATTTTTATAGTTCAAATTCAGTGGGCGCAAACTGTGAGAAAACGAACATACCGGATTTATTTCATATTAAAAGACTTGTGGATAAAAACATAAATCAACCTTCAGTAAATGAAACGAGTTACGAAATTTTAAACGTGAATATGTACATTTCAAAACTGTCTCCATATAATTTAGAAAAAGATCTTCATAAAAGTGTTGTTGGTTGTGTGTCTGGCTGGGTTGCGAAAACATTAAGAAATTTGAAGTGTGAATATTGTAAAACCCAAATTTTAAACAATTTTTCGGAAGACGAACAATGTTACAAATTAATACGTATAAGAGAATACAATTGTAATAACAGAAAATTGCAATATTGTAAGTTAGATTTTATAAAAAACATTAACAGAATTTATAATATTTCAAGAATCGTTTTAAACAATTGTACATCTTTCGACAACATCAAAAACAAAATTTCGTTTATAGTATCTCATCATGTCAAATTTTCGTTTCATTGTGAACATAAGGAATTAATTGAAAGTGAAATATGTAATAAAATTATATATTTAACAATTTTTACGTTTGTAAAAGGTTTGAATTTAATTTTAAGCGGTCGCGATACAAGAGTTTCCACACATAAAAATGCATTATATCAAAACGCTTGTATAATGTACCAAAAAAAATTAAAGTCAAAAAATCGTAGACAATACTAATAAATTGTATATTATTCTACTTTGTGTTTTTGATATTATTAGTGATAATAAAAATAAAATATTAATTATAAAATATGCAGCAATGACGCATCTAGTAGTTCATGCTTTAGCACCGGCCACAAGGCACCAGGGGGCGTTTATTGAGACCAAAAATCAAGTGGGAGTTTGCATTCTATTTACGTAGTATTATTTATCTATGAACCCAGTCGAAAGGTATCGACATCTGTTAGAATCATTTGGAGTTAACAGATAATTGTGACTGTCAAATAATAGCAGACAAATAATTAGCAACAAATTAAAATTGCGACTATAATTTGAGATTTAAACTATCCTATCTCTCAAGTTGGATCGAACTGCACATGGTGTGCGAATTTTATTATAATCGGTTAAGTGGTTTAGGAGTCCATTGAGGACCAACATTGTGACACGAGATTTATATATATTAAGAATATCGAAAGAATCATTACCTTTATCGCTGCAATTATCGTTGGTATAAAAAATTGACACTACATTCACTTTTCACTGCACTTGATACTCGACCAAAACATGTAAATGTACTATAATATAGCAGCTGTCCACGCAGACGCATCGCTCACTCAAGTAGGAGAGAGACGGATGGCGAACGCTGCCGAACGCGAAGGCCGATTGTGCCTCTTTGTCGCTCGTTCCGCGTTCTCGCTTGCACTTCAAGCCTTACAAGGAACGCCTCAGAGCGAGGTAACGCCGCATGAGTCATGTTTTTTCGTGCGTGCAGCCGGCTCAATCGAATTATAAGACGTTGTCACGTCAAAAAGTAGATTTGAATCTTATGATTGATGATGACCATTTAGTGTTCCAAGTAGATTGTGCTTGAACTTCAATTTGATCTGAAGAACTACTTGGTTGTACAGTAGTTTCTGCTGGTTCTGTTGCTAAAGTTTGACGTTGTTGGTCGGTAAATTGTCGTTGAGTATCAATATGGACGGTGTTTAACCTTTGCCCTGAACGAGATGAGGATGTAGTTGTCGCTTCTAGAGAACCACTGGCAATAACCAAGTTAGCAGCTTGGCGTAATCTGTTGTTTCGATCTCTTGCATTACGTGCTTCTCTTGCAGCTGCTGCCTGTGCAGGAGTTCTGGATGCAGCAATCCGCTGTCTGTACTCACGTTGTATTTGTGCCCTTGTTTTTGGAGCTGCAGTGGTGGTAGATTGTTGTTGCGCGTGTTGTCGTTGACTTCTAGTTTGGACATTGTTTGACTCTTCCCCTGAACAAGATGGTGATGTAGTTGTCGTTTCAAGAGAATTACTGGCAATAGCCAAGTTAGCAGCTTGGCGTAATCTGTTGTTGCGTTGTCTTTCGTTTTTCGATTTTCTCGCAGCAGCCGCCTGAGCAGGAGTTCTAGATGCTTTGATACGCTGTCTGTACTCACGTTTTTTTTGTGCCCTTGTTTTTGGAGCTGCAGTTATTGGTTCTGCAAATGGCGTCGCAGAGGTAGATGCAACAGCTTCTTGAACCTCCATGGGAACAGGAATTGCAGGAAAGAGTGGCTCATTTGTGAGATTGACACGCTCATCAGGTTGATCTGCAGTGGTGGTAGATTGTTGTTGCGCGTGTTGTCGTTGACTTCTAGTTTGAACATTGTTTGACTCTTCCCCTGAACAAGATGGTGATGTAGTTGTCGTTTCAAGAGAATTACTGGCAATAGCCAAGTTAGCAGCTTGGCGTAATCTGTTGTTGCGTTGTCTTTCGTTGTTCGATTTTCTCGCAGCAGCCGCCTGAGCAGGAGTTCTAGATGCTTTGATACGCTGTCTGTACTCACGTTGTTTTTGGGCTTTTGATTTTGAAGCAGCGATTATTGGCTGCGCGAATGGCGTTGCTAAAGTAAATGCTACAGCATCTTGAGCCTCCATGGGTTCACTCATTGAAGGTAAAGGCTTATTCGTAACATCCTCTGGTTTGTCAGGCTTTTTTTCCATGGTGCGTTTGTAAGCAGTTCTGCAAAATAAATCGTCGTTCGAAACAATTTAAAAAATTTTTTCATAAAATTCTTCATTCAGAAAATCATTTTAAATTTAAAAAAATAAAAATACAACAAAATACTTGAATAAAATTTATTGTTTAAATTTTTACTCAGCTGTTAAAATTTAAATTTTGATTTTATTATTTTAATAATATAATTAAATTTTTTCAATAGTCACTTAATTATTTTTGCAAATTAAATTGTAATTTGTTATAAAAAAGTAATAATTTCAAATAATTCATTATAAGAATAAACAATGATTAAATTATTGTTTATAAATCTTACATTTAAAATTTAAAATTTGGAAATATTAAGATTTTCGTAAATCTAGTGTTTAAAAAGCCCGCCTCAATGTGTTTGATATAGGAGAAAATGTTCCCTTTGACGGCTGGCTGGTCCCAAGATTCGTAAAGTATATAGGTTGCCTGGTAACTAACGAGTGGTGGGAGGTGTCGCCATATTGCTACGTCATCCAGCGTGCCCACAGCTTGCAGACAGTTTGTTAACTGTAGTGAAACTGAGTGATTTTGTTGAAAATTTGTTGTTCTACCGGTGTTTATAGTAGTATTTTATGGTAATAGGTATTAATTGTAAACAAGTGATGTGTTAGCTATATTCTTTTAATTTATTAGATGCCTGGAGGAAGTATTTGTAGCGTTGCTATTTGCAAGAACAATTCCAAGAAGGCGAAAGAAAGTGGACAAAGTCAGATGTTTTTTAACTTCCCTAAAGATCCCCAGATTAGGAAGGAATGGGTTAGGAAGTGCCATCGGAAAGACAAATTTGACCCACAAAATAAAAGAGTTTGCAGCGATCATTTTACACCCGATGATTATGAAGATTTGTTGCAAGCTAGATTATTAAAAATTAGGCCAAAAAAATTGAAAAAAAACGGTATGTAACGTGGTTTATGCTTTGTAACATATTCTCTAAAATATATAATTTTTAGCTGTTCCTTCTCTACACTTACTGCCCAAGTCATGTAGCTCAACCACTGCCATTACAGAACGGACAAAGAGAGCGGAAATAAAGCAGAGGAAACTGCGGAAACGGAAGCATGCGTTAGCAGGTGCATCTACAAAAACAGTAAAAAAAATGAAGAAAACTCTAAATTAAAACGTCTTTTCGTTTATCGTAGTTTTATTGTTATTATTTTAAACCCACCATTTACCCAAATAAACGAGCGGCATTCAAGTAAGATTTGCACTATTACCTGTAACAACACTAACGATACCAATAATTTATTCTAATATAATTTCATGTGTTGATTTAAAAAGATCACAAGTTGCTTAAAAAATATGTTGAAGTAGACACGACAATTTTAAACGAATACAGGATATACTCAAAACTAAGATGACTTGCAGTAGAACTAGATTGTTGTCTTTATAACAGTAAAACATGTCAATTAACTGAATAAGTAAATATATAATACTAAGGTACTAACAAATTTTTTTCTGTCACCTATTACTTCACTCCAAGAAATTTGTGATTAACAGTGTTCACAGCGTCTGTGAGCTACAATTTTATTTGACGATAGTACATTTTTTTTCATTTAACATAATTATTTTTGATTTGACAACAAAATTTGATTGTTGCTGAACAGTTAGCGAGTCACGTTATGCATAACGTTGTTTAAATGAGGCTGCTGAGTGACGTCAATTCCCGCCAGTTTCCGCCTCGCTCTGATTGGCCCATACTTACCAGGCAACCTATGTACTTTACGAATCTTGGGCTGGTCCAACCTGTAATTTCAGACACGTTGTTGTGATATGTGGAAGATTTAATATTTATGTTTTAATTTTTTTAAATCATAGCTACGCTCGATAATTATTTCGATTAAATAGTAAAGCCATCGATTTTTTACTCATCGTGAAATAGTTCTGTTAACTTATTGTTTTAATTTTGTCAATTATACATGGACCTACTATTATTGGACTGCTCGTGCCCGCTCTAAACTGTTGTCAACATGATTAGGCAACACACAATACCCATTCGGGGCAAAAGCATCATTGGTGTAAATTGGCGCGAACCCAATTATAGCAAAAAACTGGGGCACTTCGTTCATTTTGGACTGTTTTCTATAAAATATTAAATTTTTAGTTAAATTGTTACGTGTAAATGACATTTTATCCACTGTGGTGAAGCCTTGCGTGGCATTTAACTGCCAACAAAGATACGGACAAGATCCCACTGTTTCATTTCACAGGTTTAGTAATTACTAATTATTACAACTAATTACATTATTTTTACTTCCTTAGCAAAGCTAAGGGAACTGTTGTAATAGGGCAGTTTTACTATTAATACATATAAAATTACTGTTGTTCAAATTTTACTTTTTCTATTTCAAAACATAAAATTATACTCATCCTAATCGCTACCTACGGCCGAGAATAACTGATCCTGTTTAATTCATGATATAAGTAAATTTACTTGTATCATGGTTTAATTTAAGAATTAAGACATTAATTTAAAAAATATATTTTGCGAATTAGACGATCACATCTTAAATCAGGATCCATTAAATAATCACCATATTCAACTAAATTACCTTGTTCTAAAAATTTATTTCGCAATTCAGATTCGTCATCGAAATAAGCGAATAACGAAATGAATTTGATAACAGGATTAGACACAGATATTCAAAATTGATATCAATTAAAATTCGGTAAGTATATGTATATAATTTCGGAGGCTTCTACGGTCGGAATAATATACATATACATATACTATACATGATCGTTTTCCGGGTTGGAACCGTGTAAACTTAACCAGGAAAACGATTATGTATAGTGTATGTATAAATATATTAAATCGATTTATAGTAATTAATTTCAAAATTATATCACATTATTATGACAGTCTTAACAGATTTCTCAAAGTCTGTTGAGATTCATAAAGTTTGTTCAATAGTTTTTTCGTTTCAAATCTATTAATATAAAATGTTCCACCTTTGTAATGACAAAAAAAATCGGTTGTCTGTAAAGTCGGTTTACTGACGATAGTTGAACGTGACAACGTCTTAAGAAAATACTGATGGAATGGTAGCATTTTTCAAAAGGAAATTTTAATTTCATTTGTTTAATAGATTTGTATGTATATAGAGAAGGAGGTAATTAGAAATTACAATGAAATTGATCAAGTTAGATTTATTTATACGCATAAATACAATTATGTCAATTTTTTTAGTTTAATGTGTCTTGAAAAAATTGACACTACATTCACTTTTCACTGCACTTGATACTCGACCAAAACATGTCAATGTACTATAATATAGCAGCTGTCCACGCAGACGCATCGCTCACTCAAGTAGGAGAGAGACGGATGGCGAACGCTGCCGAACGCGAAGGCCGATTGTGCCTCGTTCCGCGTTCTCGCTTGCACAGCGAGGTAACGCCGCATGAGTCATGCTTTTTCGTGCATGCAGCCGGCTCCATCGATTTATAAGACGTTGTCACGTCAAAAATGTCTTTTTTGCATATTAGCTATCAGATTAAATAAATATTTGTTTCAAGCAATGTTGTTTGTGATTATATGTTAATTAGATGCTAAACAAACATTAAATACCTCTAGTGTTTGATGTAAAAACAAATATTCCATAATTTTCCTATGTCGCTCAGTACTCTTTTGCCCCCAATGGATATTACTGGTTGCCTAATCATGTTGACAACATTACTTATACGGTTTCCAAACAGCAACGCGCAGTCCAATTCAATTATAGCATAACCTACAATAGCTGCACTAGCAGACCGATGCTATTTATTTTAATGATGAAAGCACGAATATTCGACAATATATCACTGAACATATAATTAATATCGAAAGAATCATTACCTTTATCGCTGCAATTATCGTTGGTATAAAAAATTGACACTACATTCACTTTTCACTGCACTTGATACTCGACCAAAACATGTAAATGTACTATAATATAGCAGCTGTCCACGCAAACGCATCGCTCACTCAAGTAGGAGAGAGACGGATGGCGAACGCTGCCGAACGCGAAGGCCGATTGTGCCTCTTTGTCGCTCGTTCCGCGTTCTCGCTTGCACTTCAAGCCTTACATGGAACGCCTCAGAGCGAGGTAACGCCGCATGAGTCATGTTTTTTCGTGCGTGCAGCCGGCTCAATCGAATTATAAGACGTTGTCACGTCAAACAATTATGAAAAAAGTTAGATACAAATTTTGAAATACATACAGCTCTTTAGATGATTCGATCAGTCAAAATTTCGTTGTATCTCATAATAAATTTTTTGTTTGTTACATTCTGTATATCAATCAACTTGATTTTTTTTTCTGAAATTAAAATATTAAACATTTAAATGGGTTTCTTTACATAGTAAATGTGAATTACAAAAATGAATATCTTACGATTGTGGAACTTCACTCTTTTCAAATAGTAAAGCATCAAGTTGAACACGCTGCTTTTTCAATCTAGATTTCTGCTGATACTCTTTACAGCGTTCAGATTGAGTTTTTTTAGTTTTAGATGGTGCATTTAATGTAGCGTTATTAAAAAAAAATATATTTAACATGAAAAAAAAACATTTCTATATACAGGGTTAGTCACGAGAGAATTACTTCTGAAAATTATTTTTACGCAACCCAAAATACTAATACCCTGTACCACTTGATATTATCTAAATTTAAAATGAAATGCCTAATCCATGATTGCTTTGACTTTGGCAGTGTCACTTTGACGTTAATTAATTTCTAACATTTTTTTTTCATCGTTGACTCGCCTCTAGAGCCCCATTGGATCGACGACATACAGTCAGATCAATCTGGGCTATACTGAAGCCGTAAGTGCTCTACCAATGTTGTCCCCCGCTAATGTGCATGTGTTAATTCGCCATCTCTGCGTCACCTAGAGCCTCTTCGAAGTGCAAATCTGCAACCTCTGGACTTCTTCGGCCATCCATTTACAAAAAAGCCGTAGCATCCCCCCAAAATGCCCAACATTTTCAACAGATTAGTAGTTAAATTATTTACTTACTTGTTTGAGTTCGTGTTGTAACCTTTGAATAAAATGCCGTAAAAGGAATTTTTAGAAATAATTTTCTCGTGATTAATCGGTTGCGAAAGATCAAGAGGCACACTGACAAATTTATTAGCGGCGCCGGAAGAGATTTCCGACTGGCTGCGGTACCACCATGGACACTCGCGTAACCTCCTTTTCCACAATTGTCAAAATGAGATTGTCAAACTCAAAGCAATCGTGGATTAAGCATTTCATTTTAAATTCAGTTAGTATCAAATGGTATATGGTATTCGTATTTTGGGTTGCGTAAAAATAATTTTCAGAAGTAATTCTCTCGTGACTAACCCTGTATACATTTGAGTGCTTCTTTTCTTTGAATTTATATATTTTCACTCCACACACGAATTATTATTCTAAACTCAGAAAGTAATTTTTCTTTTTCTAATTCACAATAATACTTTTTCGTAGATGAGGCCAAAAATAAAATTCGAAAAAAAGGGAGCACCCTCGTATGTATACATACACATCGATATTTTTGTATTGTACCTTTCTCGTTTATTTTTAATTTTCATCATTTTTTGACGTTCCCTGAATGCCTTTTGACGCTCTGCATTTGTTTTTCGTGGTTTTGCGGTACTGAAAATGATAAAAATAGATTTTTTGTTTAACTTAAAAAAAAAAATTCAATAAACTTTTTAAATATTTTCATTAGTTTACTAGATATTTTTGCTTTATACTGTACCTTTCTTGCTTATTCTCATTTTTTTTAGCTTTTTGGCGTGCCCTATACTCCTTTTGATACTCTGCTTTGGTTTTTCGTGGTTTTGCAGTACTAAAAATGATTAATAAAAATAGAATTATCAAAATATATACATATATTTAAATGTTTGGAATTGAAGGGAGAATTTTTTTTTATTATTTTAATTATTTAAAAAAATAATCAATAAACTTTTTAAATATTTTCATTAGTTTAGAGGATATCTTTGCTTTATATCGTACCTTTCTTGCTTATTCTCATTTTTTTTAGCTTTTTGGCGTTCCCTATACTCCTTTTGATAATCTGCTTTGGTTTTTCGTGGTTTTGCAGTACTAAAAATGATTAATAAAAATAGAATTATCAAAATATATATATATTTAAATGTTTGGAATTGAAGGGAGAATTTTTTTTAATTATTTTAATTATTTAAAAAAATAATCAATAAACTTTTTAAATATTTTCATTAGTTTAGAGGATATCTTTGCTTTATATCGTACCTTTCTTGCTTATTCTCATTTTTTTTAGCTTTTTGGCGTTCCCTATACTCCTTTTGATACTCTGCTTTGGTTTTTCGTGGTTTTGCAGTACTAAAAATGATTTAATAAAAATAGAATTATCAAAATATATATATATTTAAATGTTTGGAATTGAAGGGAGAATTTTTTTTTATTATTTTAATTATTTAAAAGAATAATCAATAAACTTTTTAAATATTTTCATTACTTTAGAGGATATCTTTGCTTTATATCGTACCTTTCTTGCTTATTTTCATTTTTTTTTAGCTTTTTCGCGTTCCCTATACGCTTTTTGATACTCTGCTTTGGTTTTTGCATGGTGGTTTTGCAGTACTAAAAATGATTAAATATAAATAGAATTATTAATAACATGTATATATATTTAGGACAGAATTAACTTTTAAAAAGAAATATTCACTCACACGCACACACACACACACACACACACACACACACATATATATATACAGAGTAATCAAAATTGATTGAGAGAGTTGGTAAACCTGAACTTGAATAATTTGGTTTATTAAGTTGTATAAAAATATTAGCTGTCAGATTTGAAGTTTCAAGTTTCAAATTTCAAAACTCAGTGGCGTCTTTTTTCGACTTTTTTTTGGTAAAAACATTAGTTGTCAGATTTGAAGTTTCTAATTTTTGTCACGCCACTGAATTCACTGCCATATAACCTTAAACAAATCTGTCATAAAGTTGACAAACTTCACGACAAAAACAGGGGGTACCAACTCTCTCAATCAATTTTGATGAGCCTGTATATATTAAGTCTCTATTAAGTTTCGTAGTTTTTTTCTCAATTTTTCCGTATGACCCTCAAAACAGCAAGAAAGATAACTTAGAAAACCTTACAAAGATTTTAGTATGTATTTACACACAATATTAACCAATGTAAAATATTTTATATTTATAAATAAACTAATACTTACGTATTTAATTCTTTTGCACTGAATAATTTCCCACTATTATCACTGTCAATTGCATTCAAGTCACTTGTTAGTTCACTTGCCATTGTTACTATATTCAGGGCTATGAAAGTCTCAGCTGATTCCATAAGAAATACATGGGGAGCTTACGGGACGACATAAAGAGGTCTCTAGCGTTCTAAAGGTGCTCCGACCTTGAAGAACATAGTTTCTTTTTCATTTTAAGGTTTTCGGTGAACGTTTTGTCTGGTTTTGTCAATAAGAAATGTCATATTAATTACGGAATCGTACGGGATGTTGGGTTATGGGGTTAAAAACAAACGTAAAATTAATTTTAACAAAGTAATAGATACTTACGATACATGTAAAAAATACTAGAAAATTACAGGCTAAAGAGGTCAACAAACTGCAGGTTAAACGAAATAGTTTAATTTTCGGTGTGTGCGTGTTTGAGCGGTCCAAGATTTATTTTTAAATTTTAGTGTGTAAAAAATTCTAACTCTAATAAAAACTAAAACGAGGTAATCAAGAGGAAAGTCTTTGTAGGGGTGGTGGAATGGTATTTTTGTATGGTTCGTTTTTTAGCCGCAAACCAGTTAACGACTACGGTGCATAAATTGGGAAAAACTCACAAAATGTATTATCCATTACCGGAGTATAAACTGCAAAATGTTTAGGTGGCATCATTAAATCGCCAAAAATCACATCTTCATTGAAGACTTTAAAATGTCACACAATTAAAACAGGATGTACCACTTCGTAAGAATGTGCAAAGTTCACACAAACTTCGCAGAAGTGGTGGTGTAAGAATTTTCGTATTAATGAGTTTCCACAAACATACCATTTGTGTTCTTTCAAGGTGAGTTTCCGGTAACTCACATCACTTAATGATTGTTGAAGAGACCGGAATACAGGGAAGATGTGTTGTGGAAGTTTGTTTAAAAAAACACCTTAGCAAATTTTTCATTTCAAATAAAATAGTGTTTCATAGTTGGTTCTTACACTTGTATCGAAATAATCTGTAGTAAATAGTTCCCGAAACGTTTTTTGGAATTCTATTGGTGTGGGATTTATACAATTACCAAATTGACGCCTCACAGAACCAAACAAATATGTCAAACAATACTAATTTAGTTGCAGCAACCTTTTAGTGAAAATTGTAAACAAATGGTATTCTGTGAAAACTATTAAAAATAATAAGCATAATGTTTATGTTCCTGAAGTTGTTTTTTATTTTTTTGTGAGTGATTTAAAAATATTAAGAGTGAATTAAAAATTTTGCAATTCACTTGTGGATAACAACTTATTTGTCAGACTTGTTAAGGATTTAATAAACGCAGTTTAAAACGTAAAAATTGAATAAAAATGTTTTACTTGAATATATTGATAATTTATAAGAAAGAAAAAAATGACCAATGTCACTAGTACATGCCAACCATTTTTGTTTTTGTGTACAATTATTAGTATTATATGAATCATCACATACGAATGCTACGAAATATTTGAATCTTCGTGTTTCCCGGGAACGGGCTACCAAGGTCACACCCGTTCCGCAAATATTGCTGAAGTTTCGTTACTGATCTACTGTGGTAGAACCCTTAGATCGTATAAAAACAGTGTTTAAGTGAAATTTTAGTGTTTGTTCCTTACATATGAAATAAACACAAAAAGCCGAATAACTGTTTTAAATAGCGTAAAGTTTTATGGATACCGTTAACTTGGTCATTGGTACTGAAAACTGAAAGTATCGGCAACAATGTTTATATTCTGGCATATTTTTTAAACTTTAATTTAATAAAACATAACCTAACGGAAAAAGTTCAGGGAATTTTTATTCTTCTGCATAATACCAACAAACTACTAGATTTTCATGGCCAACCCTACTATATAAAGATCGTGAACGGACAAAGTTTTTCATTGCAACCATGACAGGTTTTTTTATTTGAAAGGTGGAATGGCGTAAGGTGTATAGTTGGTTGCCTACACACCAATAAATTTGTCATTTTAGGTTATGTTTACATCTATTTTAAGGTTATGTTTGTGGTGATTAAGATTTTATAACACGTGCAAATTCAACTCTTTTGCAATGAAGTTTTCTTATAAGGTAATAAACACTTTAATATAACAACCCTTTAGCTTTTTTTTCCAGTTTAACAATCTCCTCGGAACTGTGTATAAAAAGGGCGATTTGATATTCACCCCGGACGGAAACTCGGTTGTAAGCCCCGTCGGCAACCGATTAAGCATTTTCGACTTAAAAAAGTAACTCCGCTTCCACTCTTACCAAAATTAAGTAATACAACCATACTAATTTTAGTGACAAAGTGACCACACTACCTGTAGAAAGCAGATACAATTACACAGCTTTAGATTTAAGCCCCAACGGCTGCTCCCTCATTGCCATAAACGAAGAAGGCGAAGCCCACTGGATCAGTCTAATCTCACAAACCATCGTCCACAAGTACAGGTTTAAACGGAAAGTGCGAGCTGTGAAGTTTAGCCCCGATGGTAAACATTTCGCAGTGTGCAAAGAAAACAATGGTTGTGGCGATTTTGTGCGAGTTCGTTAACTAACGGTTTTTTTTGTAGTTTTTGTGTTTAAAGCCCCGGGACCTCTATCTGGTGAATATAACGCTTTTATCATGGAGCGGGTTTTCCATGGGGCTTATGATGAAACCACCTGTCTTGATTGGTCTTTTGATTCAAGAATTTTGGCTGTTGGGTCAAAAGATATGGCTGTTAAGTTGTACCCTCTGGACAAGTATGGTTTATGCTTAGCAACGAAATTGATAATTAATGGTTTTTATTTAGGTGGAGTAATTTCCGGATTTATTCTTTGGGAAATCATACTGATAGCATTGTGGGGTGCTTTTTTGAGGACTATACATATGATATTACGACGATTAGTAGGAATGGACAGGCGTGTATATGGGAGTGTAGTGTAGACCCAGATAAATTAGTTCCATTGGATAAGGCACCACCAAGGAAAAAAAAGGTAAGCAGAAACAGAGCGTTATTTTTTATTAACAGATTTTTTGATTATAGAAAGAATCAGCCGACTCTGACGAAGACGATATCGATATTACTAAAGCCATAGAACCCACAGAGGCTGAAATTGCAGCCGCTTTGGAAGACAACAAAGAAGAAAAAGTCGATCAAAATGATAAATTTTTCTATAAACGGTTAGCGCGTCACTACTTAGCGGATGAAGCGCGAAAAGAAGACAGTCAAGCGGTGCTCACTTCTGCCGCGTATCACAAAAAAACAAAAATTTTAATTACAGGTAGATGTGTCTGTAAATATTGTTACTTCAAAACTGATTCAACTTTCCATAGGCTTCTCAAACGGATCTTTCTTCATTCACGAACTCCCCGACGTCAGTTTAATTCACTCGTTATCTATATCCAATCAAAAAATCTCGTCGATTTCGTTGAACTCGACGGGGGATTGGATCGCTCTTGGTTGTGGTGGGCTGGGCCAACTCCTAGTCTGGGAATGGCAAAGTAAGTCTCTCTTATATACAGGGTCGCTATGTTTTTTGCTTCGTTTGTTTTCGAGATGACTTGATTTTTCTTAAGTAAGAATAAATAAAAAAAGAAAGATGGCATAGTTACCTTTGAAAATAATTTTGATTTGACATGTAACGTGCTTCATTTGAATAAGTAATAGTGATCCTTATCAACATTTTTGATTATGTTGGTTTAATCACCGACATGCAAAATTCTTTGCAAGGAAGACTCGAGTACAAATTTTTTCGCCGATTTCACTTTTTTTTTGAACTTTGCAAAGTGTCAAATTTTGACAAATGTTGCATAAAAATCAACAACCTATTTTCTTTATTTTCTGTCACATTATTTTATTTATAAACTAAAATTTTTCGCCATTCAATGTGTTTGATGGTTTCAGTTTGAAAAGTGACAATTTGCGGAAAAATTGTGACAGATTTTAAAAATAATCATTGCCAATTTGTTCAACAAAAATTACTAACTCATAGGGTTTTTTGTTATGGCAACTGCAATCAACAAGTGGTGGACTTTAAAAAAAAAAACAATAAATACATATATTTCATATTTAAAAAATTAAGACCAAATTTATTACTTTTTCAGTTTAACGAACACCCAAAGATTTAGTGAAAATGTTAAAATGTTGAAAACAATAGCTTCATTTTGTATTCTTTCTGTAGATTTCCTACGTTTATAGGACGCACAAACTACACAATGTAAATATGTTTTACCCGGTTATGGACCCAGGTTTTTCTAACATTTTTAAAGAAACTACAGAGTCGTGTGAGATACAAATTATAAAAACATACCTTCATAAACAATATTTTGATTTGATAACTTTTTCGATAATAATTTTTCTGGTTTTCTACGTTCATAAGACGCACAAAATACACAATATAAGGAGCTTTCACAAGGTTATGGACCCAGGAACAATAAAGAGTCGTCTGACAATAAATTATAAAAAGATTTTCGTTTAGTTTTGAAGACCAAGGAGCTCTGACCAGGTTATGGACCCATGGTTGCTAAAGTTGCTAAGAAACCAATAAAGAGGGGTCTGACATTTAAACGTTTAAAAAAAGACTGCCGTAACTTCTAACCATAATTGCATAATATTTATTATTTCCTGAATACTTATACATAAAAATAGTTTAAACCCGGTTATGGATCCAGGTTTGCTAAAATTTCGGAGAAAACGTCTTCTGAAACATATAAGTATTATGAAAAGAGACTGTAGTATGCTGAAAATTCGGAAACTTCTTCAAGAAAGTATAAAAATTTAAAAATAAAAAATAGAACAAGAATCGAAACACCAAAAAATTAAATAATTAAAATAATGAATAATTAAAAACTTTAAAAGTCGAGAACTCAAAGATTAAAATTAAAAGTTCGAAAAATTGAAAAACGAAGAATTAAAAATCAAGAGACTAAAAAATCGAAATAGTGAATGACTGAAAAGCTCAATAGTCGAAAATGAAAAAAAATTTAAATTGAAAACTCGAAAAAATTCTCGGAAAACATCGTCTGACACATGAATTATTAAAAGAAACCGTAGTATGTCGAAACTTGTTTTGTAAGAAGCTCTGACCAGGTTATGGGCCCAGGTTTTGTAGTATGCCGAAAGTTTAAAACTCGTTCAAGAAATTTTAAAAATTGAAAAAAAAACGAAAAGCAGTAAAATTAAAAAATTCCTAATGGAAAAATTGAAGAAACGGAAAATTAAAAATAGAACAAAAATCGAAACTTTGAAAAATTAAAAAAACAAAAAATTACAATATCTAAAAATTCAAAAATCGTAAAATCGAAACAATGAGTAATTGAAAACTCAAAAAGTCAAAAAGATACTGACAATCGAAATATTGAATGATTGAAAAACTCAAAAGCCAAAAATTAAAAAAATTTAAACTGAAAAAAAATTAAGAAAACGTCATCTGACACATACATTCTAAATTTTTGGACTTTTCAATTTTAAATTTTTGAATTTTTTGAATTTTCTACTTTAAAATTTTTCAACTGTCCATTTTTGCGATTCTATGATTTTCCATTTTTTTTTATTTTTGTGCTATTTTTAATTTTTTATTTCTTCAATAAAATTATTCGAGTTTATAATTTAAAATTTTTGAATTTTCGACTTCTGAATTTTTCATTTTTCAATTTTTGGATTAGCAATTTTTGGATTTTACTATTTTTCGTTTTTTCAATGTTTAAACTTTTGAATTTTTTAATTTTTCAGTTTCTCGCTATTCAGTCCTTCGATTTTTCAAATTTTAGATATTTCATTTATTTTTTCCATTGATCTATTTCAACTTTGGAATTTTTTAGTTTCTTGTTCGATATGCAATATTTCAACTTTTCAAGTTTGAAATTTTCAAAATTTCGATTTTTTTAAGTTCGATTCTCCAATTTTTCGTTTATTTAGTTTTTAAATTTTGCCTTTTTGTTTTAATATGTGTAGACTTCTTTTCACAACATGAAACTAAAAATACATATTTAAAATGGAATAGTATAAGGAAATATCGATTTTGCAATTAGGCTCCGCCCCATAATTGCAAAATCCATATTTCCTTGCAAAATTACACCATTTTAACCATGTTTTAAGTTTTTTGTTGTGAAAAAATATAAGCCCCACCCACCCACCCTATCTCAATTCTGATGATTTTTTTTTTATTCGTCGTAAGCGGAGCTTAATTAGAAACTACTTACCATCTGAAATATGTTCTTAAGTAATCGTGTTATACAAAGAAAACTAAAGGTATTAATTAAAAAAGCAAACCAAAAGAGAAGCCCCACCCACCCGCCCCAAGCTCAATTGTGATGAATTTAGAATTTCTCATTCGTTATCAGACCGAGGGGCGGAGCATAATTGCAAAATCGATATTTCCCCATAAAAATTTACTGTTTTAAAAAAACTTACTAAGATAAAACTGAACAATATTAAGAGTAGTCACTGGAATGAAGAGAGGGTGGGTGGGCGGGGCTGTTGCTTTAAAACATCAAAAAGTTTTGTTTCTAATTTTCAATTTTGGATTTTTCGGTTTTTCAAAATTTCCGTTCGAATAAATTTGTTCTTTTAGTTAAAAAATCGAAAAATGACAAATCGTGAAAAGGAAAAATTTTAACTTGAGAACTTGAAAAATTAAAAATCAAAAAATTCCAAAATTGTAAAGTTAAAACTTGAGAAAAATCATAAAATTGGAATTAAAAACTGCAAAATTGTCAAACAAATTATCAAATGAAATATTTAAAAGCTGAAAAATCTAAAAACTAAAAAAAAATGAAAACTGGAATTTCGAATTCGATATTATAAAATTTTTTTTTTCAATTTTTTGATATTTCAGTTTTTGATTTTCCGATTATACAGTTGTACAATTTTCCTCATTTATCCGATTTTTCAATTTGTCTTTCTTAGAAGAATAAGTCATCTGCCAAAATCAGTCTTATCTTGGCAAGTACTAGCCAACAAATATCGATTTTTGGATTTCTGGACTATAATATTTCGAAGTCCGGAGTTGAAGTTTGAATCTCAAAACTTCCATATAATTGTATCAGATTCTTGGTGATAAAACATAATTATAACCTATACCACGAATATCTAGAACTGACAGTTTTTGACAAATAAAATCGGAGGTTCAGAATTTTCAAATTCGATTTTTGGATGTCGAAACTACATTTGTTTAAATATCAAAACTTTACTGTTTTAAAATTTTCAAGTGTGATGTATTCTTTATATTTTCAGTAAAACGAAATAAAATTAAAAACAAGATTGACGCTTTTTTCTCGTGACAACTAGTCAAAAGGTCAAAATTAGGTTCAAGGCTTTGACTTTTTAAATCGTAAGGCTTGCGGTATAATTTTAAAGTTTTGACTATTCAAATTTCGAAGATCGATTTTTAGACGTTTAAGATATAATTGTCAAAGCGTAAGCTTTAAATTTTGAAATAATAAAAATATAGCATAAATCGTGAGGTCCTCATTTTAAAATTTTACCGTTGTTTACATTAAAACGAAGCAGTTTTGCCAAAAATTGGAACTCTTTCAAACAAAAGTAGAAGCTTTAAAATGAATTACGAAACTTTAACTTTTTAAATACTAAAGTTTTTGAATTATTTTTGCTTTTTCATTTATTCAATTTTTCAATATTTCGTTCCCAAATTTTCAATTCTCATTCAACAATATGATGACGTAAATTTCTTAAAATAACGTACTTTTGTATTTGTGGTTTATGAAACCACTTTGATTTTTACTCTAGACATCTAGATTTGATATTAGCGTAATTGTATGAACGACGTAATTTTTCTAGATTTTCGCTCTCGATCTTTCGGATGTTTTCCAATTTCATGGAAACTTTATACCTATATTCATCTAAATCTTTCAAAGTTGAATTCTGTTAGAATTTTCTCTAACCCAGGTTGACTAACTTCTCTCTTCGATGTCAGTCGTGCACTTCTACTCTCTGAATCCTCTTCTTTCCTTGATTCTTCTCCATTTCTTCTAACCAGGGCGGATAGGCGGGGCTAATACTTGTTAAAATAAGATTGATTTTGGCAAATCACAAACTTTCTAAGGAATTCAAGGGTGGCTGGGCGGGGCTTAGTTTCCGCTAAGATAAGACTGATTTTGGCAAATGATATAGCCTCCAAGAAAATAGAGAGCGAATGGTCAGGGTTAGTAAGCATTTGTTAAGATAAGATTGAACAATATTAGGAATACTTTCTAGATTGAAGAAGGAATGGATGGGCGGGGCTACTTCTTACTTATAAGACTGTAGAAACAAGCTAAATTTAGCCCCGCCCACCTTCTTTATTATAATTTTTATTTACTGGAAAATGAGAATTGATTTCTATTTTGACCCACTTGTATTCCATTTTAATCACTCATTATTATTTTATAATTATAGGTTAATACTTTTTGAATATTTTGTTTAACAATTTATCTATTTTCTTACCAATGGTTTAACGGATTTGTCTAAGATTCTAATGAAATAATAATGTTGTCATTAATTA